CTGTGATGACAGCTCAGAGACTGAAGCCTGTTTCAGATTATGTGTCTCCCCCTCTCTCTCTGCCCCTCCCCCACTCACACTCTGTCTCTGAGAAATGAATAAACCTTAAAAAAAATTTTTTTTTAAAAAAGAAAGAAAGAAAAGACAATAACAGGGGTGCCTGGGTGGCTCAGTCGGATAAGTGTCCGACTTCGGTTCAGGTCATGATCTCACAATTCGTGGGTTCAAGCCCTGCATCAGGCTGTATGCTGACAGCTCAGAGCCTGGAGCCTGCTTCAGATTCTGTCTCCCTCTCCCTCTACCCCTCCCCCACTCGTGCTCTGTCTCTCTCTCTCTCTCTCTCTCTCTCTCAAAAAATGAATAAACATTAAAAAAAATTTTTAAAAGAGAAAAAAGAAAAGACAATAACATTTCTCTTTTACTACATGAACACTTACTCTTGAAGCCTTTGGCCTCCTCACACACATGAGCCACCCACACTGGCTGATGTGGACACTCCATGGCTGAGCCCTGAGATTGTATAGAAACAAGATGTCTGGCCAGCCCCCAGTTGCTCCAGCTCCGCTACCATTTTTTTTTTAATTTTTTTTTCTTTTTTTTAACATTTATTTATTTTGAGACAGAGAGAGACAGAGCATGAACGGGGGAGGGGCAGAGAGAGAGGGAGACACAGAATCGGAAACAGGCTCCAGGCTCTGAGCCATCAGCCCAGAGCCCGACGCGGGGCTCGAACTCACGGACCGCGAGATCGTGACCTGGCTAAAGTTGGACGCTTAACCGACTGCACCACCCAGGCGCCCCTCCACTACCATTTTGACTGCAACCTCATGAGAGACCCCGAAACTAGAACTGCCTAGCTGGTCCCTTTCCAAATCCCTGACCCACAAAACCTGTAGGAGCTAACAAATTTATATTATTTCTTAAGCCATTAAGTTTCGAGATAATTTGTTACACAGCAATAATTAAGTGGAACAGTGATGATTAGAGTAGTAGAAGATTCAGATGATAATCTTCAGTGACTGCAAAAACTAATGGGTTAAAGATTTGATGAGGAATAAGATGTTTACATAGAGTTAAAGTGTTTCCCCATTAAATATTTATTAATCACAAAGTAGAAAGTTTTACAGTGTCAAATCCTGGCAGACATTTCCTTAACAAAGTGATTAAAGTGAACATCATCATAATGGGACAGATTGACATTGTATGCCTCAGTATACAGATAAATGTTTAACTACTGGCTGGGGGGGCTGGATGCACACTGATTTGTATTTGCTGATTTCTGTAATGTAAAAATTCCTCCAATGACCCAGCTGCCTGGCTGACTCTTAACCTCAGTATCATGAGTTTGAGCTCCACGTTGGGCCTAGAACTTACTTAAAATATATTTATACATATTACAAAAACTCCCATGATGACCAATTTCAGACCACCATTGGTTTCACAACAGGCTGAAATTTTAACAATTGGCTGTTGCTTGCTGGTGCAGACCACCTCCAGGGGACACAATCTATGTGTCCCCTGATATGATGCACTGAGAAGGACAAAGATACTTCTGAGGTATTTCTCCTAAGAATGTGTAACTGGAATCTCTTCACAAGGAAACATTACATAGGCCTGAAATGAGAGACACTACAAAGTAACCGGTCTGTACTCTTCAAAAATCAAGGTCACAAGGCGCCTGAGTGTGTGGCTCAGTCAGTTGAGCATCTGGCTCTTAATTTCAGCTCCAGTCATGATCTCCTGGTTTGTGGGATTAAGCTCTGAGGTGGGCTCTCTGTTGACAGCAAGGAGACTGCTTGGAATTCTCACTCTCTCTGCCCCTCCTCTGCTCCTGCACGCATGCACAAGCTCTCTCTCTCTCTCTCTCTTTCTCTCTTTCTCTTTCAAAATAAATAAATAAAAACTTTTTTAAAAATGTCAACATCACAAAAGACAAGGAAATACTGAAGAACTGTTCCAGACTGAAAGAGACAAGAGATAACTAAATGTAACATGTGATCCTGGGTCAGGTTCTGGGCAGAGAGAAGAAACATGCCTGGAAGGGCCAGGGAGAGATGGTAGTATCTTATCAATGTTAATATCCTGCTTTGGATGGTTAAACTGTGGTTACATAGGAGAATGACACTGTCTTCAGCAAATGTAGACTGGAGTGTTTATAAGTAATGGGCCATACTGTCTGCATCTTAAGTCTCAATTGGTTAGAAAAAATAGGATCTATCATGCAGACATTGAAAGAGATACAGATACATAGAATGATACAGCAAATGTTATAAAATGTCAATAATTGGGAAACCTAGACAGAGTATGTTAGAGTTCTTTGTACTATTCTTACAACTTTTCTGAAGGTTTCACATTATTTCAAGATAATAAGAAAAATGCTCCAGGGTTTTCTCTGAGTCTGGATCCCAAATTCTCACCTGTTGGGAAATAAGATGATTCACATCTCCAACAACATTCCCTCAGTTTGAATTTCCAGAAGTCTCCCTGTCCTTCCTGGGAGCTGTGCCAACTGACGAAAAGCTCCAGGACCCAGGAGGAGGGGGCTGGACCAAGGCATTCATCATAAGCCAGATGATGGGGACTTGTACAATAAGCCTGGCAAGTCAGGGACTCTTGGTGCCCTGGACATTAGGTTTTTCCAGCCCAGACAATTCACCTGGCAAAGAAGAAAAAAGGATTTAACCTCATTCTAAGAAATAAATATAGACTACATGAATTCAAATTACAAAAATACATTTCATTAACAGAAGGCTTTACTTCAGATTTCCTTTAAATGAATAGTAAGCCCCAGGTACAGCATGATTTCGTTTACAAAAATTCAATTAATATGCAAGTTTTTCCAAAAAACATATGTCAGGGTACCTTCTGGGAAGTCCTACAGGAGGAATACGTGAAATCAGATTTAACTACCCCTAGAAGAAATATTACTCCGTTCCAAGGGGGCTACAACCTATTTCCCACATTTTCATAACTCAGGGTCTGGTTCTGTTGATGTTTCTAGTTCTTTGCTAGGACTCAGCCTATTGAACCAAGCATGAAGACAAGACTTGTAGCTGGTTTAATTTGCCAGATCAGTGATCACACCAAGTCTAGGCCAGAGACCTTATGCTCCTGGGAGACCCCTGTAGTCATGGCAACTTGCTACAAAAGCCCATTCAGCTAAGTTCCCATTTTCACCATTTATTAAATGTGATTCAGTTGAGCTGGGACCTATGTGCTATCTACTGGGATTGGTTAAGGCAATAAATCAAAGACTGTCAGAATTAGACAGGATCTTAAAGGTCATCTTGTTCCATCTGGGTACCAGTCTGTGGTTGAGGACCCCTAATCAACAAGACTTTTCCCAGTGTCATGAACCAAAGAGTGATAAACTACTAATGGAGGGATGGTTGGCTGCTGCCTATGAACTCAGATCAGGTGATGGCTGATGGATAAGAAGATATTTGAATCCATCTGTGACTTTTAAGGAATTTTTTGATCCTTCTTCACATCCTTTAGTCAAGTGAAGACAGGGATGGCTTCATGCCTTCTTTCTCCTGAAGACTAGGCTATGAGCCAGAATTTGATCACATGAGGTCTTTTTTTGGGGGAGACTCTGCTCTGTTCCCTCCTGCTTCAGCAACTGGCTCAATGCATACAGTTATATCCATTCATTCAACACATCTTTTATTGAATACTAACTAGGTTTGGGGCATGGAGCTAGGCTCTGTGTTCACAATGTACATGAAACAATCATTAGCTCCTGCTCACATGGAGCTTACAGTCTGGTGGGAGGGAGACTATCAACACAGAAATAAATATATAATTACAAATTATGCTAAGAGTCATGAAGGAAAAAAGCAAGGTGCCATGAGAGATATTAATAGGTTAGGGGTCTAGGAAACATTTCTGAGACAATGACATGAAATGTGAAACCTTAAGGGTGAACAGGAATCAGACAAAAGTGGAAAGAAAGAATATCCCAGTCAGAAAGAATGAGAAAAGACTCTGATGCAGCATAGGGTTTGGGATATTTGAGGAACAAAGGACCAGTGAGGCCAACGTCTGGTACACTGGGGGAGACTGGGGTAGGATGATGTTGAAAGGAATCCAGGTTAAACAGGATGCCACATGCCCTGTTGAAACATTTGGATTTTTCTAAGAGCACTGAGTTGTAAGCAGTGTAACCTGATTTAATTTAATTTTTAAAAAGCCATTGCTCTGTGAAAAATGAAATGAAGTCAAAGAGAAGAAAGAGAGCTCAATTAAGAGACCGTTATAACTCAGACAAGAAGTGATAGTGGTTTGAACTCAGCCAATAGCAACACAGGTAGAGAGGCATGGAGGATTCAAGGTACATTTTGATGCAGGGAACAGGGGAGAGAGCAGTATCAACAATTTCACTGAAAATTTCTGCTCTCAACACCTGGGTAGAATGGATGGAGGTGACATTTGCCAAGATGGGAAAGACCAGGAAAAGGTTAAAAGGGAGAGATTGAGAATTGCACATAGTAGGTTTCTGAGATTCTTGTGAAGGATCCAAGTAAATAAATAAATTTGGGGATCATCGGCAAATAAATAGTATTTAAAAGCAAAGGAGTGAATGAGACTACCAGGAAAACACTATAGAGTAAGAGAAAACGAAGAGGAGAAGAAGCAGAGACATGAATAGAAGAGAGGCAAAACTAAGTCCTGAGGAAATCCGACACAGAAATCTGATAGAGAAGAGCAACTGGCAAAGGGACCCTAGAAGCAATGGCCAGAGAGAAAGGAGGAAACCAAGAGCGTTGATGTCACTGGGGTTGAGAGAAAAGAATATTTCAAAACGATGAGTCTGGTAGAATGTTTAAGTGTTCCTGAGAGGATAATCAGTGTCGAGGCCATTGATGACCTTCATGATGTCAATTTTGATAAAGGAATGGAGGTAGAAACTATACTGGTGTGGGTTCAAGAATGATTGACAGAGGTGAAAACAGCTTACAGAGGGAAGCAGAGGAATAGGGTAATAAGTGACTGTCTTCTCACTTTGGCCTCCCGGCCAGGTCAGCTACAAACTTATTCCATCTCTCCTCCCAGGTTTTCATGGCAGCTTTTTTATCAATATCCATCAAGGTGCTGAATCTGCGGAGAAAAGGCACTTAGGTCAGCCCCAGGAGAAAGGGTTGAGAAACAGATGAGGGGATCTCAGATGCTTGCAGAACACATTTCTCCCCAGTCCGAGAGCAATAACAAAACAGAGGTGTTGTGGAGAAAACCCAAAGAAACCTTCTAAGCTTCTGCCATAAACCTCTACTAGAGATAAACACAAGTTGTGAGGTGGAAGAGGGAGTTGGGGATCTGGGAAGTACACAGGACCCTCACCTGATAGAGTTCATGGCCAGTTGTTTGAGTGTCCTCAGATCAGCTGCCATTCCCCCAATACCCATGAAGGCCTCATAGAAATCATAGGACAAGCCTTTGGCACCAAAGACTGCCGGGTCATCAGAACTGATCACCATGGGGTACCCAGTGGCCATCAGAACAGCAGCAGGATGGTTTCTCAAGTCAGACACCAGTTTCAGAACCTGCCCAACAGGAAGCAAAGAAGAAAGACAAACTCTGACCCAAAAACATTGGGATGAATTCTGGGTACAATACAAGGAATAGAGCCAGTCCTCATACTCTTCCCAATTTTCTCCAAGATTCTTCACCTTCACAAACATTTGGTCTCTCTCTTGGTCTGGCTCAGAGCAGCTCTCTGGAACACAGCAGGAGAGGCAGGTGCACAAAGAACCCCAAGCAGCTGTGAAAGCAAAAGTATTCTATGGCCCCTCCTACTTCACTGGCCTTCCTCAATGTCCCTTTAGTTTTGTTTTTAGCCTTGCCCCAAATTCCACCCCACTGGGGACCCTCAACTGCTGCCTCAGTTGCCTCAACTGCTGCCATTATGAATGGATTAGGCAAAGGGCCATTCCTAAATAACTTACTAAGGGGAGAGAGACAGCAGAGGAATATAGAAAACAAGTGAGCTCAGGAGCTAGAAATCATACAGGAAAGTTTGGGAATCAGAACAGAGGTTCTGGTCAGAGGTTCCTGACCAGAGGAAAGAAAGATTGTATTGGGTTGGTGCCATGGATCATGCATACCTGGTTGGAGATGGGACAGACTTCTATGGGGATGTCCTTCTTCCAGGAGTCAGCCCAGACTGCTGGGTGTTTTGTCAAAGCAAATCCATGGCCAATCCTGGTAGAGTTCAGTATTAGAGCAACCAGAAGGTTTCTATCTATGGAAGTACCCTGCCAGTCTGTGGATAAAGGGGAAGTCTCCAGTCAGATGGATCTGGCCCATAGACTATCCTCAGATAAAGGCTTCAGATCCCCAAGCAAGTAAAAGAACATTCACACACACACACACACACACACACACACACACACACACACACACAGTTTCGTATAACAATGCTAAAGAGAGGTAAAAGAGAGGAGGTATGGCAAACCTTTATTTTATGTATGTATGTAACAGATGAGGAAGTTGAAACTTACATAGGCTTTGTAAATTGAAGGAGCATACTCAAGTAGCAAGACTCAGTTTTAAACCTTGGTCTATCTGAATCCACAGCCTATATTCTTTCTTTCCATTTTTTATTTGTTTCCAGAGCTATTTTCTGGGAATTTTGTTCATGATTTTTTACAACAATGTGTTGCAAACTCTTTCAATATAATTAAAAACAAATTTTAAGTTTATTTATTTATTTTGAGAGAGAGAGAGAGAGAGAGAGAGAGAGAGAGAGAGAGAGAGTGGGGGAGGGGCAGAGAGAAGGGGAAAGAGAGAATCCCAAGCAGGCTCCATGAGATCATGACCTGAGCCAAAACCAAGAGTTGGACGCTTAACCCACTGAGTCACCCAGGTGCTCCTATAGTTACTTGTATGTACTTATTTAATTTATATCTTTAACAATATCAATTGCAAGACAATTGCCAGATCACAATGACCAGTACTGACAAAGTGGTGGCAGATAGCGTTGGCTGCCTACTTACCAGCCATCCCCATTGTACATTCCTTTCTAGCAGGGCTTTCTTTGGAGGGTGAAAATGACAGGTCCTGACTCCCCCAGCTTCCCTTGCAACTAGGAATAGTCCTAATGCTGACCTGGAAGGTTATTGGTGGGGAGATCTTGGGCTTCCTCCCTGATAAAAGAAGATACCCTAGAGAAAACATCTTGTCTCACCTGAATGTGACTTCATGGACAACCAAGTAAGGTAAACCCTGAACTTGATGAAAACAGCAGAGGTTGCTTATTATGTGAAATAACAGATGACCTTGTTGTGAAACCTATTGAATGTGTGTATTCCATTCCTGGCAGCCAAAAGCATCCTAACTGACCCACATATAAAATATGAAAACTCCACTGTTCTGTTAGGAATAAAATCCAAGAATTCCCATTACTTTTTAGGGCATGTGTTTTAGGTGGATTTTCACTGGTTTCCTATCCAGAACTTTTTTTTCAAAGATTTCTTCCTTTTAAAAAATAAGAACATTAGGGGGCGCCTGGGTGGCGCAGTCGGTTAAGCGTCCGACTTCAGCCAGGTCACGATCTTGCGGTCCGTGAGTTCGAGCCCCGCGTCGGGCTCTGGGCTGATGGCTCAGAGCCTGGAGCCTGTTTCCGATTCTGTGTCTCCCTCTCTCTCTGCCCCTCCCCCATTCATGCTCTGTCTCTCTCTGTCCCAAAAATAAACGTTGAAAAAAAAAATTAAAAAAAAAAAAAATAAGAACATTAGGGACACCTGGGTGGCTCAGTCAGTTAAGCATCCAATTCTTGATTTTGGCTCAGGTCATGATCTCATGGTTGGTAGGTTCTGTGCTGACAGCACAGAGCCTGCTTGGGATTCTCCCTCTCCTTCTCTCTCTCTCTCTCTCTCTCTCTGCCCCTTCCCTCCTCACATGTACATTCTGTCTCTCTCTCTCAAAATAAATAAATAAACTTAAAAAAATAAAATAAATAAAAATAAGAACATTACTCTCAGGTATCAAATACCCAGCTCCTGGCAAAATCCTCTCCTAGGGCCATTCGTCTTGGAATTTGGTTAGATCCTATTACAGTGTTTCATACTGTTGAAATGATTTCATACAGGTAAGTATGATTTTCCCAACTAGACCACAAGCTCTTCAAGGTTAACATCCCCCTACTCCCTTGCCCCATCCCCCACAAACAATTCTTCAAATTTCCTAGAACAGTTTTGATCTAAATTGGGTTTAAATTGATTGAAATGTCAGGAAATAAGAGAGTAAGGCACACATACCCTTCCTCTGAGAGATGGTGTGATAAACCAAGGTTTAAGCCTGGTTGTGAAATCCAAGCCCCCACACTGCTCTCCACTTATCTCCTTGGTCTTCTAAGGGTGACAGGTGCCTACAGTACTCAGGGACACCAGGTGGGGTGTAGCAGCAAGATTTCCTCCTGATCTAAGCCCCCCAAATCTTCATTTTAACCTGAAATTGCAGCCATGATCTGGGACTCCTTTTGCTTAGGACTTACATATTTTAAGGACTGGAATATGGGAAGCTCTGAGAGACGACCTATGAACCTGTGGAGTGAACTTTAGGGAGCAAAGGCATGGCTGGGCTAATGGCATTTCATAAACAATAGTAGTCAAGCTGTCTGGGCTGGGTGGGGTCTCCTCTTCAGCACTGATGAGTGTGGACAGAGCCTCCTAGTTGCCTGGTTGTAGTCCCTTTTCTGCCACTTACCCTTGTGTGACTTTGGACAGGTGAATTAACCTCTTAAGCACAACTTGATTATAAAATGGAGATCATCAGAAAGAATTCAAAATCAAATTCCACCAATGACTAGCTCTTTACCCTTGGGCCAAGTACTCTATGTTTGGAGCCTTGGGCTCTTCATCTATAAAATGGGGATAGAGATTGGTTAGTTGGTTAAGTGTCCAACTCTTGGTTTCAGTTCAGGTCATGATCTCACAGTTCGTGGGTTTGAGCCCTGCATTGGGCTCTGTGCTGACAGTGTGGAGCCTGTGTGGGATTCTCTCTCTATCCCTCTCTCTGTCCCTTCCCTGCTCACCCACGCTCTCTTTCTCTCTCTCAAAATAAATAAATAAAACATTTAAAAAATAAAAAATAAAATAAATAAAGTACAGTTTAAAATATAAAAAATAAATAATATTGGGATAAAAACACCTTCCTGGCAGGACTGGGGTGAGAATTAGAAATAATATATGTAAAATGCCAGATACTGTTATATTATCATTGTTATTCCTTCTCCAGGGGGAATACATATTTCTCCATATAAAATGGACAAGTGCCATAAAATGACTATCAACAATACCAATACTGCCCCAGGATCCCATCAGTTCTCTTGAGTGATGATAAGGAGCTTTCCTATCCATCCCACCTCTGTCCTGCTTGTCTCCACATGGCTCACCTGTCTCTCCAGCATGGAAAAAGTAAGGCAGTTTAACGCCATGCAAGGTGGGAATCATCAAAGCCTCCTTGTAGTCATACAAGGAGTGGCCAGTATCCTCATGCCCCACCTGCAGGACAGAGAGGAGGGGACATGGAGCTGTCTGCTTGGTCCATGCCTCAATTTGCTGATGGTACCCTCAATAGCCTGTGAATACTCTTCCTTATAACCTGACGTTACTACTTGAGGCCATTGTCACATAGCCTTTTAAAAATGACCAGCAGCAAAATTGGAAAAGAAAAGAAAGTGTATTATTACCCCTAAATAATTCCCCCCGCTTAGTCAGTCAGAGGTTGTATCTCGTATCCTCCCACCCCTTTCCACCTTGTGTTCTGACACCACTTTCCAAGTCCCTGTGCTCAGCCCTGAGCTCCTTGCTGTGGGCAGAGAGTGAGGGAGAAAGCAAGAGCAACAGAGAGACACAGAGAAAACAAGACATTGAGATACTGACAGACCCACAGAAAATGGAGAGTGCGAGAGAACAAGAGCCCTGGACCAGGAATCAGGAAGGCTCCAGACTCAGCTGTCACCCATTACCTGTGGGTCCTTGGACATGTCAGTTTCCTGGCAGGGTCCCTCTGTGACTCAGTGCCTCAGCTGTAACTACAACAAAACTACGCTTTTCAAACTAAACCACACATATCCCCAGGGCTTGTAGCTGCATGCCAAGAGTAAAGGTGCCTTAGGATAAAATGGGTACTTCCTTCAGAATGCCTATTTTAATTTGTTGGGGGGCAATGGAACATTTTTATAATAAGCCAAATACAGGTATTCAATGTAGTGGAATGGAGTGCAGGCTTGAAAGAGAGTTGGAACTTGCAAGTAGACTCCTTTGAACAACTATCTACCCCCCTTCCTACCCCAATTTCCCTCTAGAACTTGTCCATTACAGTCCTTGAATGAACTGTTCTGGAAGTTCTATACTAGAGGCTCTTCTTCTCAGCCCCCTTTGTCAGGGCTGCACACAGAGGGGAAAGGTGAGATGGGAGGAACTTCTGCTCCTTTCTGGAGAGGCTAGATCCTTGAGCACCCCCCAGAGATCCCAGGAAGGCATCCCAGTACAAACAAAATGATTCCTTGAAATCCACTCCTTTGAGCTCTGGATGTTCTGAAAGCAAAAGCTTAAGCCCAGTTTCAGGTAAAATGTACAGATATACTCCCTCCCTATAAGAGGGAGTCAGGAGTGCCTTTTAGCCAGTTTATTCAAACTAATTTAGCTTCCTTAATGAAACTGATGAGTTGCCACCTAGGAAGTGTGCCCTGGCTATCAGAACTCAGCTATGGCTTTGATTTGGGAGGGGGCGGGGGGTTGGTGGTGGTCAAGGCAGTGACACCACTATGGACGTGCAGCTTTAAAAATAGCTGAGGAAGCAAATGGATAAAGGGACAGAGGACACCTTTCCCATCCTTGACAGTTTTGCCCAGGGCTAGACCCATCTCTGCTTCCAGACCACCCTCTATGTGCTATAGTTTTAAGAGGCAGGTGTAGGTAGGCCACATGTGCTAGAAAGAGGATGGAGGGCAGGGAAATGGAAATGAGCCCACCATTACTACCCAACCTCATTGAATTCCTTCCTTATTCTGGAACTCCCCTTTGCAGGCTTTTGGCCCTGTCTGCTCTCCTTTCTCTTGTGACTATCATCCTCCTGCAGGCCCCTACACAAGGTCAGTGCTAAACCCTGGCCAGGCCTGTGGTTGACAGCCTGAGCCTCTGCAGAAGGTTTCAGTGCATGCTGCCAGGGCCTTCACAAAGAGCTGCCTGCTGGGCCCTGCTCTCAGACAGCTTTGTTGTGTAGGGTCTGTTACCAGGTCAAACCCTGCCACCATCCTGGGGAACATGGTTCGGAGCGTCATGGCTGTTTGGATGGATTTCATGATGAAGGACACATTTTTGACTCTGTGGGAGAGACAGAAAAAAGCATAGGAGACAGTGTGACTTGGTGTTGGCAGACCTATGTACCCCGGGGGGACCCCGTACCCCGGAGCAGCTCCCCCAGTGCCTGGGGCTGGTCTAGTCCAGATTACTCAGTAACCACTTCTCAGACCCTCAGCACATGAGTCTATCCTGCCCATGCTGTTGTGATCCCTTCCAGGGGATACATCTGAGAGATATTTCACCCAAATCCACCCTTTTGAGGAGTCCAGCTGGTTCTAGAGGAAACTTTGGTGTCTGAACAACAAGTGAGGAAAGGAGACCCATGGGATAGGTTTCATTTGTCCACATTTGTATGAAGCAAAGAGGTCTTGTCCGAAACTTGCCCTGCATCCCCGAGACGAAGGCTCCTGGAACGGGTGAAGTACAGAGGCCATCTCTCTGTTCACTGGACACCTGTGAAATGCTACAATTCCCAATTGTATGAATGCCCAATTCCCTGTCGAGTCAGCTGGACCTGGCAACTGTATGTCCTCTCCCTCCAGCTGAATCAGCAAGGCCCTGGGCACTCCAGAAACCATGTAAGCAAACTGTCTTACTTCTGTCTGTACCCTCTCTGTTCAAGCCCAGGATAGGGGTGAGGCAAGCAGCACAACAGAAGCACCAAAAGAAAAGTCTGGCACAACTCTGTGACAGGACAAAGGTCTCTGCACAGCAGCTGGCTCACTTGTTCCTCAGTTCTATGGGCCTACATTTCTCCTGCCCCCTCCCTATGCCTGCCCATTCCCTCTCCTGCAGAGCCTCCCCCTCCTGCAGATCCTCTAAGGGATCACAGGAGGATTTACCACCTGCAACCCAGCCCTCACACCCTCCTGCCACTGGCCCCCAGAGAGCCTCTGAGGGGAACCAGTGGGGCCCCAGCCCGCAAGCTCCACCCTGGCCGACTAGCACACAGGTGCAGGCCTCTGTTCTCACAAATGGTGAAGGGGATTCAGGGGAAATGGGGTGGGGAGGGGTTTGACTGCCATCCAGAGCCCAACCTCTAGGGCTGAGCTGCCCCTCCCCAAGCACTGACTCAGTGTGATCCCCATCTGTTTGCCACCCCTGCATCTCCAGCCCCGCAGGTGGGTCACAGTCCTTACACAGGCCTGCCTTTGACAGAGAGCCTTCCTTGGATAAAACTAAGAAGGGAAACTAAGCTCTAAAGCTTTCTGTGCTTGCTTGGGGAAAGAGTGGGTCCTTGTTCTCACTGCCAGGTCACACATCCACACACAGACTCTGAGATAGCTGTCACTCAGGGCTGGGTCACCAATCAAGGCCAACTACACAGCCAAGGACAGCACATGGTTGACATGAAGCAGAACCCCACCAGCCAACTGAAACAAAGAAATAGGCCAGTTATCTGAACATACTGGCAAAAACATACCCATAACTGAATCACCCAGGCCGACATGAGGTCAAGGCCTAGAATTATTTGGAAAATTGCCACACTTCTTCATTTCAGTCTGGTTGTGAAGATTCGAACTAGAAGTGACTTCAGAGATAGGTTTTTGCTCTCATGCAGGAACATGCATGCCAAAGCCATGGCTCTTTGGCATGGAGGGTGGGTCTCTGAAGCCGGCCTCCCAGCCTCCCTCTTTCTCCCTTTCTCCTCCCCTTCCCTTCCAAGTCTAGTAGCTCTGCCTGCATCCTGTTCTCCCAAATCGTGCAGCTTCAGCCGTGTTCTCTCTCACCTGTGATCCGAATAAATGATTTTCATTCCAATAAACCCAGGATGCTTTTCTGCAAACATACAAGCCACTTCTCTGTAAGTCTTCACTGACCACTCTTGGCTATGGACAGTCCCGTTCAGTTCATACACCTGAGAGGGAAGCATGGTCCTGGTCAGACATCAGAGGTGAGCAAAACTTCATTCCCATTGCCAATAATCTCTAAATCTCTACAATTTCCTTGTCCAGTGCCTTCAACAGCTTCTGACACTTATCAGAAGTCCTAGTCATGTCTGGGATAATGCTCTTGAATACCACAAAGCTGGGGTGTCTGCCTGTCTCATTCATTGCTGGGTCCTTGCATCTGTAACAGTGCCTGGCACATGGTAGGTGCTCAAAAGGTATTTGTGTAAAGAATGAAGAACAGGTCAGCTGGGGAGAGGACAGCCAAAAAGAGGAGAACAAGGACCTACTTTATCTTCCCATTCTCCCACTCTTAGGTGGGATGTCCCCTCAGGTGGACATGGTTAGGGGCAGAGTGAGAAGAGCCAGGATTGGACCATGGGTAAGACAAAGTAGAAAGACACAGTGGAGAGGACAGGGGTATAAAGAAGTCCAAAGTGCCCACTTGGCAGGTTGGGCCACACCAAGCCCATGGTGACAGGATGGAGGGGGTTGGAGCAATGACATGGCCCCTGCCGCTCCCTCTGCCCTCTCCTGTTACTGGGTCAGCTCTCACCCCTGCACAAATTGGCAGGTCAGGATTCAGGACAGGATGCAGGGGTTTCCAAAGAGGTTGTGGGGCAAAGGAGGATGGGAAGAAATAATATGCAGAAGGTATTTCCACGAACATCAATTAAAAACGCGCAGTGTACAAGGAACCAGGCTAGGCATTGGAAGGGGTAAACAAATGTGAGTGAGACAAGATGCCGGCCCTTAAGGAGTTTCTAATTTAGTGCAGACAGACTTTATTCCTTTATTTATTTATTTATTTATTTTTTTGTTAACGTTTTATTTATTTTTGAGACAGAGAGAGACAGAGCATGAACGGGGGAGGGGCAGAGAGAGAGGGAGACACAGAATCTGAAGCAGGCTCCAGGCTCTGAGCCATCAGCCCAGAGCCCGACGCGGGGCTCGAACTCACGGACTGCGAGATCGTGACCTGAGCTGAAGTCGGCCGCTTAACCGACTGAGCCACCCAGGCGCCCCTCTATTCCTTTTTTTAATACAAAGAGGAAGAATTAAGTGCTAAATAGAGGTTTATGGGATCTCAGAGGAAAAAGGTCTCCTTTTAACTGGATAGGATCAGAGAAGCTTTCCAGGGGACATGGCGGTGAGGTCGGGCTTGGAAAGGCAAGGGGGATTTGATATGCAAGAAACTGAGAAGCTGCTCTGCAAGCAAGCCAAGCAGCGGCCCCGCTGGTGAAAGGATTGCTAGTGTCCTGGTGTAGGAAGCAATGGTTCCACACAGAGCGAGAGCCCACCAGGGTGCAGGGAGCAGAGGCTGAGAGGCAGAGTGGGAGCCTCAGACTATCTCACCACCTAATGGAGAGGAATCCTTTCTCCTCACTGGGGTCAATTCTTGTATCCTGGCATCCTAGGAGCTGGGTGCTCTCCAGGACCCTTTTCTCCTTTCCCACAGGTCCCTTGCCTCACAGCACCCTCGCCAGCCTGGGGCACCTCCACTTTCCCTCTTAGCTGCACCCCGCAGGTGCCACCTTCTGTTGCAGGACAGCCTCCTCTTCTCCCCAGACACACAAAGCAGCTTTTTTGTTCTTTCATCTCTGGATTGGGGGTGGGGGTGGGGGTGGGGGGGGTGTCTGTTCTGCTGCCTGGGTTGGGGGAAGTGGGGTGAACAGGCAGCTGTTTCCAGCCCTTTCTCTTGGCCCCTTTGGCCTTGGCTCTTTGGTTTCCTCTGCTGATGCCCCAGGGAAGCCTGGCCTCTCACACAATCTCTGGGCTCAACTATTGGAAGGTGTATCTTCCCTGATTGCATGGTCTAGGAATGGACAACAGTGCTTACTGAATGTTAAGGCTGCCAGAACTTTCCAGAGGAGAGAATTTTAGGTACTGCTAGCTCAGTATCTAGTATAACCTATTATTATTATTATTATTATTATTTACTGAAGGGGATCAGACCATGCCACCCTAAAATATGCCACTTTTGCATAATAATTAAAAATTTTTTTAATGTTTATTTATTTTTGAGAGAGAGAGACAGAGTGTGAGCAGGGGAGGGGCAGAGAGAGAGGGAAACACAGAATCCAAAGCAGTCTCCAGGCTCTGAGCTGTCAGCACAGAGCCTGATGTGGGGCTTGAATTCAAGAACTGTGAGATCATGACCTGAGAAGAACTTGGATGTTTAACGGACACACAGGCGCCCCAGCATAAGAATTATTTTGAGTGGAAGGCAATTAAGCAGCAAACAGAGATCTTTGCTCTCCTCCTATCTGCCTAAAAGGACATAAACTTCTGTTGGTGCAAGTTCCCCCTTTCATCTTCCACACCAGGAAAACGACCCTTATCATTGGAGACAGAAGGGCTGTTCTGAGATGGGTCTGCACAAACAAACCTTAATAACATAACTCTTATCTTCTATTAGTCTCCCCTATATATTTACTATCCCACAATTTACTGCCCCAGAAACCCAAACCTATTGCCTTGTCATTTCTCCACAAATTATCGCCACTTGTTAAAACAGTGTATAAGCACCTGTTCTACCCACTTCTTTGGGTCTTCACTTTTTTCTACAAAGGTCTCCATGCACATAAAAATTAAATATTAACATCAAATAAAATGTGTATGCCTTTTCTCCTGTTAATATGGCTTTTGCCAGTTTAACTTGCAGGCCCCAAAAACAGAACCTTAAGAGAGTAAAGAAAAAGTTATTTTTGTTCTTTCCTACTTCATCAGATATTTTTTATTAAAATTTTTTTTAATGTTTATTCATTTTTTGAGAGAGAGAGAGTGCAAAAGTGGGGAAGAGGCAGAGAAAGAGGGAGACACAGAATCCAAAGCAGGCTCCAGGCTCTGAGCTGTCAGCACAGAACCTGATGTGGGGCTCAAACTCACGAACTGCAAGATCATTACCTGAGCCAAAGTCAGACGCTCAAAGGCTCAACCAATGGAGCAACCCAGGCGCCCCTTCACCAGAGATTTGTAAAAAGAGAATTCTTCCTGTCACTGATCAAGGCTTCAACAGACTTCCAGGCACTCTGTTAGAATCTTCAAATCTTTGATGCTGAAAGAGCTTATATGCTGTACCCCAGCAGTTCCCAAAGTGTGGTCAGGGAGCCCCTGTGTGTCTCCTAGACTTTTACAGGCAATCTGCAAAATCAAAAACTCTCCTCATAAAAATTTTAAGATTTAAATTTAAGATTTGTCTTTTACATTCTCATTCTCTCCTGAATATGCAGAATTTTCCAGAGGTTGCATCATGTGTGACAATATTAGTCTGACAAATAATGGATTGTGTGCTTATGTAGGCTTGTGTTTTGGAAAGTTCTCAGTTTTAATTTCTAATGAAGGCTATATTATACAAGATATAGTAGATAATATCCACATAAACAAAAACTTTTTGGGATCCTCCAAAATTTTTGAGTGTAAAAGTTTGAGAACAATTAATTGCATTAATCCATCCCAGAACTGATACCTGAAGCTGTCTTGGCCTTACCCAGCTGATTTGCAGAAGGGAAGAACATAATTCTTCACTGTGCCTTGACTGCTGTGTCATTACTGAGTCATGTGCCCACACAGCCCATCTGGATTGCAGGCCACTGAGGGCAGGATCCAGGTCATCTGGGTCTTCCCACCTCCCCTCCTTTAGCACCAGAGAAGGAGCTCCATAAATAAGCATTAACTGAGGAAGAGCACTGTCCACTTGGAGTTTCAAAACTACTCAGCCCCAGGCAGCATGCTTTGGAGAATGGATAAATAGATGGATGTTGGAGGGGTGGTAGTGCCAGCAGAACAGAAGGGAGACAAAAGAACCTTTTAGAAAAATCAACAAATGACAATTCTGTCTACAAGAAGATCCTTGGCATACTAAACAAGGATGTACAGATATGCAAATGATACAACCAGAGGCTTGGTGGGGGTTTGCCTATGGCAGCAGTTCCAAGCCATCAATTCTATCATTGCAGTACTTATTGCTGGAGAATCTGGGACCCCTGCCTTGCAGGGTTCCAATCCCACTGCTAGTTCCCATAGCATGGAAAGCCACAAAGATGGAATCTGGCTCCTGGGGCGGCAGATACAGAAGCCCCTGGTCTCTTGGTGCCTCAGTAAATCACCACCAGGGCCGCCTGTGCCTTGTGTTCTTGGGCTTCTGGCCTCCAGCCAAGAATCTGCAGGCTTTGTGGAAGCACCTAGGACAGGATCTGAATGTTCAAGAGCACCCCTATTTCAAGGAGCAAGAGACCCTTTTCAGGGGGAGACCTGCAACTCCTCCCGGCCTCACAGCTAGACTGATTAGAACATTGCTATGAAACATGGTACTGGAGGAAAGTTCACAGCTGGTTAGGGGATTCTGGGCAGCCTTCTGGGTTTAGGCTCACAGTGGAGATACAATCTGCCCCAGCCAATCATACCTCATAGGATCGTTGCAAGGATCAGATGAGTTAATATTTGTAAAGCACTTAGAAATGATAACAACTCAGAAAAAATAAAAAGAATAAAAAAGGAGGAGCGCACCTGGGTGGCTCACTTGGCTAAGCGTCCAACTCTTGATTTGGGCTCAGGCAATGATCTCATGGTTCGTGGGTTGGAGCCCCACGAACACTGGGCACAATGGGCTCCACACTGACAGCACAGATCCTGGTTGGGATGCTGTCTCTCTCTCTCGAAGAAAGAAAGAAAGAAAGAAAGAAAGAAAGAAAGAAAGAAAGAAAGAAAGAAAAGAATTTATAACTATTGGGTGCCTGTCTGTCTCAGTTAGAAGAGCATGCTCTTGATATTGGGATCATGAGTTTGAGCCCCTCATTGGGTGTAGAGACTACATAAAAACTTAAAAAAAAAAAAGGAAATGATAACTATTAATAATATTATTAGCATCAATCTTATTATCATCACCAGATGTAGAAAAACAACCCAAAATCTTCAGTTATCCCAGAAAGATGAGTTACTAGAGCACCATTCATTTACCAGCCATTTA